AACAATTACATCTTCAACTATTTCTTTTGAAGAGAAATTTTCACAGAAAGAGCATATCTGCTTTGAAATAAATCTATAAAACTAAAGATATTTTTATGGACCCAGAATTAATCAGGCATTACTTGACAACAGAATTGGATAGAGTTAAACCCTCTCCACAAATTATGTAGGAATTAGATACCATAAATGGGTCTTTCATTTATCAACTTGATTTCATCTTGTTCAGAATAAAACAGAATATGATATTATGTATATATCAAAAGAGTTTATAATTTTGAGATGGATGACTGTCTTATACTATTAGTATAACAAAAATGTTTAGTATAACTTAGAGGCTGTGTTAAATTATCTTAAATTAACTCTTAAAAGGAAGGTGTGGCTCCCTCAATATTAGAAACTATCTTCTATTTAAGAGTTAATTTTTATAATTTAGTTTAATTCAAATTATAAAAATGAAACTCGCAACATGGAATTAATGAATTATTTTAATATGTAATTAAATACTGTTGTATGGAATTATTACTATAAATATGGAATGCTTTTGATGAAAATAATTATTTTGGGGGCTTACTATAAATATGGAATTATTTTGATGTGTATTTGAATAATGCAGTATGTGTAACAAAACCAAATAAAAATTTAAAATTAATCCAAAAATAGCTGATTCGTTAACAAAAAAATCTCTATAAATTCCATCATCTTCCTAGTGAGGAGATAGCATAGGGCAAAAAGGGTAGAATGAGTAGGAAAGCTCAGGTTGTGCAGTCTAGACTCTAGAGTTGTCAAAGTAGACTCAGAGGAGTCATGGAATTTTTTCATAACACAAGCAAAGAATCAAGGCTGCCCCGTGAGTATATTCTTATTTTGTTTCTGACTTCTCTCTTCTCATTTTTTTTTTTATCTTTTTTTTTTATCCAGTGAAAAATGTATATTTTTTGAACAGTAGTGAAAAATCTATATTAAACAAAAAAAAAAAAAAACACATATTTCTATGTTACTACTTTTGCAGGTTGTGGTTCATTTTAGAGCTGATTGGTGCAGGCCCTCAGTGGCAATGAATCCTTTCTTTGAGTAATTGGCCTTGACTTACCAGCATATTCTCTTTCTTTCCATTGATGTGGATGAAGTCAAGGTAAGATAATTTTAATAAAAAATAATGGAAAAGGAATGTTTATTTTTATTTTTTATTAGAAAATATTAAATTGGTTAAAACCTCATTGGGTCCCTCTACCTTAACAATAAGCTCTTTTTTAGTCCCTCTACTTAAGAAAACTCTTTTTTGGTCCATAAACTTTATTATCCAGTCCCTTTTTAGTCTATCTGTTATTTTTTTGTATATGTGACATATTATATAATAGAATTCGAAAATAGAAGGATTAAAAAAAGTTTTTTTTTTTTAAATAAAAGGACCAAAAAAATGTTTTTTTTTAGTATTTTTTATCCTTTTTAATTTGAAATTTTCATCATTTAACGTGTCACATGTTCAAAAAATGATGGAAAGATAGGGCTTTTTTAAATAAAGGACTAAAAATGAATTTAAATAAAGGGACTAAAAATGAATTTTTTAAAGTAGAAGGATTAAAAAGGGGATTTTAATCAATTAAATTCGCTAGAAGGAGGGCTTGAACCTCCGACCTTGTGGTTAACAGCCACACGCTCTAACCAACTGAGCTATTCCAGCAAATTTATTTACATTTTGTTCCTTTAAATAATTATACCTTTTAATTAAAGTGCTAGAAACAACGGGCTTCATCTCACTTTGCTTCTAATCGACAAAGAAAATGTTTCATTATTCATACATCGCAAAGAATCTAACAAAACTGCTGTTCCAAGACTTTTAAATCACCCAAATCCTGGGTAAGCTTGTGCATGCATGGATTTAGATCCTATGTCTCATATAATAGCTACCTAGATGAATTAGTATCAAGCACCCAAACTCTGTCCCTGGTGTACGATCTCTACCTAGTTCCATGAGTTGGGTGCAATTTTTCCTCAAAAAATATTTTCTAGGAGCAACAATCCATATAAAAGGTAAACGAGTATGATTTAAGTTAAAATGATGATCATAACACAAGTAGTTAAAAAATAGGCATCACTCAAATTAGAACCCTAATTAATTTCTTTATTATTTTTGTCTTACTATTTATCGAGACACAATGAGGTGGTTCATTAACATGTTTTTGGTCAAAATTGTAATATTTAATGTTATTGTAATGTGATTTCAAACAGGGGGTGGCATCTAAGATGGAGATAAAGGCCATGCCTAGTTTTATATTGACGAGGGATGGAACTCAGGTTGATAAGCTTGTTGGTGCTAATCCTGATGAGATAAAGAAAAGGATTGATGGTTTTGCTCACTCCACTACACCTTCCTATGCTATAACATGACATGAAGCTTTATCTTGTGAGAATTTAAAACAAGTTTTGAGTGTACCAAAAAAATACATTTCTTTTTTGCCTTTTCTATTGTTTTAATTGTCATTTCGAAATTAATTAGGTTTGATTTAGTTAAAGCTTTTGAAGAAGTGCCATATCTGAATAGTGCTTTTATAAGAGTGTTGTGCTTGTTTTGTTTTTTTGTTTTTTTTAAGACATGTTATGCTTTTGTCTTGAAATTATGTAAATATTTCGGTATCTAGAAAAAGTGTTTGTATCCTTTTTTTTAAAAAAGCATGTTGTGTTTATCTTCGTGTCTCTTTTCTTGAAAGACATGTTGTGCTTGTGCTTGTATCATAAAAAAGTGTATAAAATATTTTTTCAAAATACTTATGAGTAATCTTAAAAATTATTAAATTTAATTAACTCAAGTTTTTGTGAGAATTTTCTTCCCCAAATTTCAAATTTGCTGCTCCAACTTCTTCGAAAGCTAAAAACCCATTTTTGAAAAAGGG